TGTCTAGTTTAACAAAGAGAAGGACGAGGGGGGACATGATAGCAGTGTTCCAGTATCTCAGGGGCTGCCCCAAAGAAGAGGGAGTCAAGCTATTTTCCAAAGCACCTTAAGGCAGGACGAGAAGCAACGGATGGAAACTAACCAAGGAGAGAAGCAACCTAGAACTAAGGAGAAATTTCCTGACAGTTAGAACAATTAACCAGTGGAACAACCTGCCTGCAGAAGCGGTGAATGCTCCAACACTGGAGGTTTTAAGAAGAAACTGGACAGCCATTTGTCCGAAATGGTATAGGGTTTCCTGCCTGAGCAGGGGGTTGGACTAGATGACCTCCAAGGTCCCTTCCAACTTTATCATTATTATTATACTTGTTTTGGACTGTGATTGTTTGAGAGTGAACTAAAAAGATGTCAAACTTGCCCAGGGCAGTTTTACCTGACACTCCCTTGTCCAGGATTTGTGTGACCTTTTCACTCAGTGGAGTCATGTTGCAAATCAGTCCTGGCAATTTTGCAAAAGGTGGGTTGTTTAGTTTGATGCTTTGGCAGAAATAATAGATACAGAAAGAAAGGAATATTTTTTTTTCAGTTCCTGCTAGAGACTAACCAGTTATGTCTGGTAAAGGAACAGAGAAGAGACATGGGACCTAGTTGCTTTGCTTCAGGAAACTCAAATATTAATTATTTGAGTACAATACTTGGATGTTTTCTGCTTAGAAATTTTGGTCTGTTTCCTTATCCTCAACGAGAGAAAACCTTCCACTTAACAATAGGGGGTTCCTAAAGTGTTTGCCATCCCACCAGCCTTCAGTCTAATGTTAAAGTACATCCCTTAAAAATCTACACGCCAAAATGAACACAAATGAACACTGGGAAAAGAAAGCAATAAAACTTTATGTTTTAATAAAGACATGTACAACTTACCGGTGGTCCCCAACTTATAACCACAATGGAGCCCAACGTTTCTGCTGCTAAGTGAGAAATTTGTTAAGTGTGTTTTTGCCCCATTTTATGACTTTTCTTTCCACATAGGTTAAGTGAATCACTGCAGTTGTTAAGTTAGCAACACGGTGGTTAAGTGAATCTGGCTTCCCCCATTGACTTTGCATGTCAGAAGGTCGCAAAATGTGTTCACATGACCCTGGGGCACTGCAGCCGTCTTAAACGTGATTCAGCTGTCAAGCATCCAAATGTAAATCATGTGACCACGGGGATACTGCAACATCATAAGTGTGAAAAATGACCATAAGTCGCTTTTTCAATGCTGTTGTAACTTGGAATGATCACTAAATGAACTGTTGTAAGTCGGATTACATATAAAAGGTTCTTCGTAATTCCCCTGGACAGTCCTTAAGGCAGATCCCCTCACAGTTTGGGGAAGCCTTCCACTAGAGCAGTGGTTCTCAACCTTTTTAATGCCGCGACCCCCAACCGGTCGTAAGTCGAGGACTAAACCGGTCGTAAGTCGAGAACTACCCAATCGGTTGTAAGTCGAGGACTTTCCCTGCCCGGGAGCGCCGCGCATGCGTGGTTCCGCCCCCTGCGCCGGCCGAGGCGTAGCTGGCAAGTGGCAGAGATGGAGCAGGCCGACCACCAGCTGGCCCAGCCCAAGGGAGGTAAGGCACCTGCTGGAAAAGGGGGGAAAAATGGCGGACAAAAAAAATGGCAGACAGCCTTGCTTGGCGACCCCCATGAAATGGTCGATCGACCCCAAATGGGGTCGCGACCCATAGGTTGAGAACTGCTGCACTAGAGACTGTGGCCATATTACATCTTGATTCCTGAGAGGCCAGCATTTTTGGCTTGTTGCCCTGAGATAGCCCCAATAAGCTGAAGCCTTTTCAGGCAAATAACGGAACATTCATCTGTACTTCTGTACAGGAATTACAGTTAAAAGCTCGTGGGTTTTTTTTGCATCTGAGGAGATTTGGCAATGAATATCAAGACATAGCCCTGGATACTTACAAATTATATTGGCCCTGATTCCTGTTACAGCTGTCCAATTGCTCCATTAAATAAATCCTTACAGGATGTTATGGAAAAGTTTGTCAAAAGCCTTCCTTGCTGTACCTGTTTCTTTTGAACATTATTTCAAAGACAGGTAATCTAAACGTCTGCAAATCCTATTTATTGCCCCTGTCTTCCCACGGGCTCAGATAATAATCTTTTAAATGCAACAGTGTTGGGATTTCTTAAATGTAATGCAAGAAAGTATAACGTCTTGGGGCGGAAATATGACAAACTTTAATAAATCCGGTTATACGTCTTAGCTATGTACCCGCATACTAAGTCATCAGTCTTGCTATCGTTTAATGGAAAACATCTTTTAAATAAACCAGCACAATGAATGATGATCCTGGAATCTTTTAAATAACCTTAACTCCACTTAAGCTAAAGCGTAAGCAGAGGTAGCCGGCTTAGGTATCAACCTGATCCCAGATCCCTTTAGTGAGAGAACAAACAAGCCAGCACAATGCCATAGTTGGGGGAGACCGAAATGTCACCTGAAACTTAAGAAAGAAGTCAACAAGTTGGTAGCTGAGCATGTCAGAATATTTGTCCCTGTCCCAGCAACAACTGCATTAAATTAAGTTCATATATAGAAAGTAAACTTATTATTCTAAGGCCTGAAAAATTGTGTGAGGTCACTAAATCTTTCAGGTTTTTAGGAGTCTTGAAACTTTAGCATTTAATAATAATAGTAGTAGTAGTAGTAGTAGTAGTAGTAGTAGTAGTAGTAGTAGTAGTAGTAGTAAAGTTGGAAGGGACCTTGGAGGTCATCGAGTCCAACCCCCTGCTCAGGCAGGAAACCCTATACCATTTCGGACAAATGACTGTCCAGTCTCTTCTTAAAATCTTCCAGTGTTGGAGCATTCACCACTTCTGGAGGCAGGTTGTTCCACTGGTTAATTGTTCTAACTGTCAGGAAGTTTCTCCTTACTTCTAGGTTGCTTCTCTCCTTGATTAGTTTCCATCCGTTGCTTCTTGTCCTGCCTTCAGGCGCTTTGGAGAATAGCTTGACTCCCTCTTCTTTGTGGCAACCCCTGAGATATTGGAAGACTGCTATCATGTCCCCCCTCGTCCTTCTCTTCGTTAAACTAGACATACCCAATTCCAGCAGCCGTTCCTTATATGCTTTAGCCTCCAGTCCCCTAATCATCTTTATTGCTCTTCTTTGTACTCTTTCTAGAGTCTCAATTTTCACGTAAGATTTACTGCAGTAATTGCAAATCTTGGGTTTAGTAAAAAAAAATCCATGAAGTTGGAGAGGGTTTTGGAAAAGGGGTCTTGAAAATATTGCTAACCTACCTTAGGAAAATTGTTGCTTTTCAGCCACACACTCTAAAATGGGGGATATAAAATTAGCCTGTTTTAGCCCTGGACTATATGTTTCATAAACACCTTGTGTTCTGAAGCCCAGCGGCTTCTGCATTGGAAAGTAGTATTATTAACAAGGGATGTTTTGCAAGAAAAAGGCAATGGGGAACACTTAATTCTGCTGTCCATCCTGTAATTCCCTTTTGCAAGCCACATTTCTCTGAGTGCTAAGCACCCAGAAAAGTTGTATCTGGTCCTCAGCTGAGGTAACAGCTTCTGATGCTGAGCAGGGAAGTGAGATTCAGCAGTTCTACAAAAGCCTGCTATTTCTCTTTGCTGCAGCACAATAGAGAGCAGCGTGCAAAATTTCAATATGCAAGGTGACTTTGCATAGAATTAAGTTACTGTGTCTTTCAAGTGCTATTAAGAAAGCTTTTGAGGGGAAAGGTATCAAACACATTGAGTCCCTAGGAAAAATGTGAAGTTGATAAACAGAAGATTAGGTCACAGCTTGCATGATTATAAATGCTTAGGCTAACACCAATTCCTTAATTCTTTAATTATAATTTTATTATATTTTTTTAAGTACATGTAATAACAAGAACAAAGGTTATAGATTTAAATTTTAAAAGAAAAGCTACATGGTTAGCTAAACCATACAAATAGAAGAAGAAGAAATAGGAATGCAAGAAAAAAATCTTATCATACCTTATAATTGCAATACGATTGAACATATCAGGGGTCTTCAAACTTGGCCCTTTTATGACTTGTGGACTTCAACTCCCAGAATTCCAGACTTCAACTCCCAGGCACTGCCTGGCTGGGGAATTCTAGGAGTTGAAGTCCACAAGTCATAAAAGGGCCAAGTTTGAAGACCCCTGGAATATATATATATATATGAATATATATTACATACTGAATAATTGTTATTTTGTTGTTTTCTATCATATCAAAATAATATATTTAGACAAATCACAATTCAACGTTTAAACAATTTATGTGTAATCTGTATAGAATCATATTATTTGATCTTTCTGTTGATAACAAAGTCAGATCAAAAGCCAGGATCTCGTGAGTTTAACTCTAAAATCCAGTAGGAACACTTCTTCTTGGAATCTTTCAAGAGGTTATTCATGAGGATCAATTTGGCTTTTTATCTAAAAGATAGTTAAAGAATAATGTTAGAACTGTGTTGATATTTTGGAATATTTGGAACGACATAATGAAGAACAAGCTGCATTGATTTTTTTTTAGATGTTTTTGACAATTTGAACTGGACTTTCTTGCTTACAGTTTTGGAAGACATGAATTTTGGAGAGAATTTTAAAATGGGTAAAATCGATTTATATTTCACAGCAATATAATATAATAAATAATTGTTAGTGGAGATCTAAACAAAATCGTGTGAAAAATAAAAAAGGCACAAGACAAGCCTGCCCATTATCCCTTCTCCTGTTTATTTTGCTTCTTGAAATACTGAATAGAGACATGAAATGGGATGAAAGGATTGGGGGGGAGTAAAGATTTAAAAACAGATTTATAAATGGAGAGCTTTTGCAGGTACAGATACGGTATAGTATTTTTAATAGAATTGTGCTGAAATCTGAATAAAGTCGAAATGAGCTCTCATAAACTGTCCTCTTTATTTTCTTTCTTTTTTTATTATTCATTCATTCATCCTCTAGCCAAACCGGAGATTGTCACTTCGGAAAGACTTAGCAATGGCATGCTACTCTGTGTGGCTACCGGATATCCTGCTCCTACTATAAACTGGTATGTTTGCCCAGCCACTGAGCAAAGGTAAGAGATCCTACACATTTATTTTGATTTTGGATTAAATGTAAAGAATAAGGAATCAATACAATCAACTCTTAACATTCAAAATGTAAAGAATAAGGAATCAATACAATCAACTCTTTAACATTCAAATGTGTGGGGGTTTTTTCATGACTTGAAACCTCATGAGAAAGTAAATTTCTTGGGGTTTCTATTGGAAGTGAGGTATGGGACGGAGAGGAAGGGTCTTAACCCATCCTACCCCACAGCAAATTCTGTTCTCATAGACATAATTTTCTCCCATATGGGATGAAAGATAGGAAAAGAGACTAAACTTCTGTTCACTAATCTTGCTTGATAACTATACCGACTTGGACAGAAGAATCTTTATTCTGGAACCTGAACTAAGATGCCTTGTAGGTCTGGTCCAGACAGCATAAACTCAACGAAAATGGTTTTAAACAAATATTTATACTCTAACACAGTTCTAGCTGGCTACAATCCGGTCCAGCACAATCTTATAGGTGCAAACAGTACACAAGAAGGACCTTTTTAATGTGCCTTGCATTCATGGGAATTGGAGACACACGACCATGATCAATAAAAACAATTTATACAGCAGTAGCCATAGCAACAGCACTTAGACTTACATACCGCTTCACAGTGCTTTACAGCCCTCTCTAAGCAGTTTACAGAGTCAGCCTATTGCCCCCAACAATCTGGGTCCTCATTTTTCCAACCTGAGAAGGATGGAAGGCTGAGTCAGCCTTGAGCCGGTCAGGATCGAACTGCTGACAGTGCGCAGTGAATTAGCCTGCAATACTGCATTCTAACCACTGCGCCAGTGGGGCTCTTGTGGTGGAGGGGTTCTGTTTGTGTTTACACCTTCATTAGATGTATGTACAGTACAGGTCGTCCTCGACCTTGAGACTATTTTTTTTTTAAACACATTTTAATGGTTTTTTAAATTCTTAAGAAAAGGTACTCAGGACACACCGTGGTGTTTGGGTAATCAAACATTCAAAAGTAAAAACATATATAAACAACTCAACTCAATACATTCACTGACCCCTCTCTATTTCCCTCAAATAACATAATACGTTTAAAATATTCCATTTCTAATTTAAATTTCTATTACTACTAAACCTGTTTTATAACTTTTATCAGTTTACAATTACCACAAACAAATGTAACTTTAAATTAACAAGTTGTCAGTTCAGGTATCCCTTCCAGATATATTCTAATTCTGAATCTCTCACATCCCTCATTTTATCACCATTCTCATTTATTTCTTCTTCCACTACACAATAGATATCCTAATAAAAATAAAATGTTAATCTACCCTATACATATATAATCCCACAGTCAATCAATCGACCTTGAGAGTATTTTTCAATGATAGTTCAGAGTTACGGCAGCGCTCTGAAAAATGTGATTTACGAGCTATCCTAAAAACTGGAACCGTCGTACCATGGGGTCACGTGTTTGCAATTTGAGCACTTGGCTCTAGTCCTTATTCACAAGGATTTCAGCATCCTATACATACATTGTGGCCACGCGGTTGCGATTTGCTATCTTCCCAGCAGGCTTATGACAGATTCGTTTAACAACTGCAGTGAGTGCTTAACAATTGTGGCCAAAATAAAAAATGTCGTAAAATGAAGCTCAACTCACTTAACAACAAAATTTGGGGCTTAATTGTGGTCATAAGTCAAAGACTACCTGTACAGATTTATCTGCACAGTTCTAATTTCTTTTGCCTTAAAGCAAATAGGAGATCACATAGTTTCAGTCAGGGGCATATTAGAATTCTGACGGCTGAGATACGCTCTTGATGTAACACCGATATTCGGCAGTGTTTCTGTGGCTTGCTTCTTGTTTCTTGAAGGTGTCATTTTAATTTATCACTAAACAGTAAGGGCCAAAGGAGATGTCACACATTTTCTAACCATTTACAGCTGGGATGTTCTTGGCCCTAATTATTTAACTCTGTAAAATGACGATTACGAAATAGCTTCTCTCTATGGCTATTATCTCTCAGCTTTGTTTATAGCAATAGCACTTAGACTTACGTACCGCTTCGTAAAGCTTTAAAGCAGGGGTCCCCAATCCCCGGCCCGTGCCAGGCCACAATCCATTCACAACCAGGCTAAGGAAGTGGTGGGCAAGCCTGGGCCCACACAGCTGTATTTATGAAAGTGGCACAAGCACACATGCACAAAACCATCCCCTCACGCCTCCCCTGCCATCGCCGTCTCCAGAAAGGTTGGGAAATGCTGCTTTACAGACCTCTAAGTGGTTTATAGAGTCATCATATTGCCCCCAACAGTCTGGGTCCTCATTTTACCGACCTCAGAAAGATGGAAGGCTGAGTTAACCTTGAGCCAGTCAGGATTGAACTCCTGGCAGTCGGCAGAGTTAGCCTACAATACTGCATTCTAACCACTGCGCCACCAAGGCTCATTTTTTTGTTTGTTCCCCACCTTTATTACTTTTATAAATAACTCCAGGTATCAAACATACTCCTATTTTCTCTACAACAAGAACCCTATGAGGTAGTTTGGGCTGAGACAGAATGGCCCAAAGTCACCAGCCGGCTTTTAGGCCTAAATGGGAACTAGAACTCACAGTCTCCTGGTTTCTAAGCTGGTGCCTTAACCGCTAGATCAAACTGTAAGAATCACGTAACATGTAATGTACCACAATTTTAGACAATACAGGGAAATTAGATTTCCCTCTACACACAGTAGATCATATAGCAAATGTGACATGTAAGGTTGGAAGAAAAAAAAGAGTTAACTACAAAGTAATTGTCCATGTTTCTAACAAGATTGCACGTATTTTGATTGCAGGTAATTCATTTGCAAGTGGGGATACAAATACTCGCCATTTTGGTGATGTTTTGAACATTATTGCTAATTTATAGTGTTTTTCCTATCCAAAACATTTTTCAGAAGTTATTTTAATGAAGGCCTTTTTTTATTAATAGCGGCAATCATGACATCTCAAGTTAATCATAAACTATCTCTGATTGTGATATTGGCAGTATATAATGAGAGTACCTTAAAGACTCTTCTGTGCCTGCATCACTGTTTGATTTGGTGATAGCAGAGCCTCAGATAGAAGGTCCATACAGAGAGTGGTAGGGACAGCTGAGAAGATTATAGGAAGCTCGCTTCCCCTTATTCAGGATACTGCCTAGAAGCACTTATATGTGCTTGGAGCTCGGAGCATTGTTAGAGACCCCACACAACCACTTTGCGGTCTGTTTCTGTTGCTCCCCTCTGGGAGGAGGTTTCGAAGTATTTATAGCAGAACTATTAGATTCTGTAACAGCTTTGTTCCTTACGCCATTCGTCTTGTAAACTCACAAGATTCATTTATCTTATCATGTAAATGTATATATCCAAACTAGATTGTGTTGTTTCTCTGGATCATATATGTGTATGTATGTGGGTATATTTATTGTTGTTGGTGGTGTTGTTGTTGTCATCATCTTTATGTAGTGTATATTGGAGGTAGTTACCCTTTGAGAGCTGTATGCAACAAAATCTCATTTTAATGTATTAATGTACATTTAAAGTGACAATAAAGTTTATTCTATTCTGTTCTGTTCTATTCTATTCTATTCTATTCTATTCCCTTTTCTATTCTCTTTTCTATTCTGGTTCTATTCTATTCTATTCTATTCTATTCCCTTTTCTATTCTATTCTATTCTATTCTATTCTATTCTATTCTATTCTATTCTATTCTATTCTATTCTATTCTATTCTATTCTCTATTCTTGTTCTATTCTATTCTGGTTCTATTCTATTCTATTCCACTCCACTCCACTCCACTCCATTCTGACCAAAATTCTATTTATACCAGAAAGAACAGTTTTTAAGAACCCAATTCTGTTCTTAATAATTGTAAGTTATACAATTGTGATCTCTTGTCAGATAGTTGCCTAATGCTAGGTCTTCTGCCTTTCAGCCCTACAATAAATTTTGCTGATGTATACTGATGTTTGGGGTCCAGAACACATAGGTTGAAAGTCTCTAATCTCACTCCCACCAACATGCCCTAAGTAATTAGTGAGAAGTATTGGACTTTTTCTTTATATTTTGAAAATTAATGAAAAGAAATTAGGTTCACAAGAAATAAATGAAAAATTAGCAGATTTGTTCACTTTCAAGGTATATACCAAGTTGGATCCCGATTTTAATTATACTTAGTGCAAACTCTGTGAAATTAATCAGATTTAAGATTGCCATGATTAACATAAGACTTCTTCAGTGAATCTGAATTAAAAGTAGCCAAATCTCCAGAGGCTGCATTAGGATAAGCATTAAATTAGAATTCCCAAGAATTTCCAAGCAAGAATATTGATATATCCTAACCATGTCACTTTCCTTCTCTTGTCAGCAAGAATGGCTGCATAACTGGGTTGAGAAAAGGCTTGGTATAAATGCCAAATTATAACCCTTGGGATACCCATCCACTAGTTTTTCTTTTCTTGTTTTTCATCCAGATGATTTGTTTTTTTCCAGGTGTCCAAATTCACCAACTGTTTCTCCAGTGAATGTAAAAACCAAATATAGAGATTCAACATTTTCTTCCTTTGGAAAGATAATTGTAGAAAGTACTATTCAAATTCAAATCAGTTTATTACAGCCATATGGCCAGAAACAATAAAATATCCAGTTATAGGCTACTTGCATACGTACATATATAAAAAATGCCCTGAGCGTGATCTAATGATGAATAAGAACACATATAATAAAATTAATTTTAAAACAAAAAACATTAGAAAGATCTAAAAATAACATCTTATTTATGTTTCCGACAAATCCCCAGTGCTGCTGCGCAGAATCTAGCCACCTGCGCCATAATTACAGCCTGTTCATCCTTAAGCAGCCCCTGGAGATAAGCAGTGTCGGAACGGCCAGGATACCTATCAATTATTGGGAGGATATATTTTTTCAAATATCTCTATAGAAAAAGAGCATCAAAGGAGTATGTGTCTAACTGTCTTCTACCTTTCCTGAGCCACAGCAATAGAGTCTTTCAACCAATGGTGTCTTTTTATACTTGCCATACAGAACGGCCAATGGAAGCACATGGCACCATGTGAGCAAAAATGACTCCAACTGGCTAAGATAACTGGTGGGAATAACAACGTATCTAATAGAATCTGGAGCCAGAAACAGCAGAGCTATCCCTAAGTCTGCTTGCCTCTCGATGTACGCTAGTTTTTCTTTTCTTGTTTTTCATCCAGATGATTTGTTTTTTTCCAGGTGTCCAGATTCACCAAACGTATCTCCAGGGAATGTAAAAACCAAATATAAAGATTCAACGTTTTCTTCCTTTGGGAATATAATTGTGGAAAGTACTATTGATACCAGCATGTTCAAGAGCAATAGCACCGTCACCTGCGAGGCTTCCAATACCATCGATAGACGTTCAGCTTTCTTTAACTTTGCCATTAAAGGTAATTTTGTGAGTTGTTTCTGAAACCGAATACAGTATTTATTCTTGCAAGCTTTTGGAAACGAGGAAGAGTTCCCCCGAACTTAAATCGCCAACTTCCTTCATGATGCTGATAACCAAATGCATATATTTTTGTCACAACTTATTCCATAACTAGCTGTACCCAGCCACGTGTTGCTATGGCTCAGTCTGGTAAAAGCGTGTGTTGCTTTTATGTCCAACAGATGGCGCTGTTTTTCAAAAAAGCATGTTTTTACCTGTCACAGGTGTGACATCTATATAATATAGGTATATAAAAACACGTGTGTATTCGAATGCAACATTGTGTCAAAATTTCAAAGCAATCGGTGAAGAACTTTCGGAGATTTAAGATTTTGAACAAACGAACATTTACATTTTTATTTATATAGATACTTGTTTTTTGCATTTTATATTAAGTATTCTAAGAAACGTAAATATTTTTACCTTTTCCTACAGAATGAGATGAAAAGCGATATTTAAATGCTTAAATCAAAACATCCAAAAAATTTCATTTTTTTCTTATTATAGGATTATTATTTTGATAATGAGGTATTGGTCAAAAGTAGGTATGTCTGCATTCACAGGTAATTCTCAACGTACGGCTGTTTGGGCTTCAAGTTACTTATGACCTGTCATCAAAGTTAGGTTGTGTCATTGCATTTTGGGTGCTTGGCAACCTTTTCCAATCCTCTGCGGTCATGTAATCACGTTTTGGAAATATTTTTGCTGTTTTCTGCGCTGGCTCAGGAATTCTAGGAGTTGAAACCCACGAGTCGTAAAAGAGCCAAGGTTGCCTACCCCTGGTCTAGGACAATGCATCTCAACTTCAGCAACTTTTAAGTTGTGTGGATTTTAACTCCCAGAATTCCTCAGCCAGCATTACAGGAGTTGAAGCCCCACATCTTTAAAGTTTTCAAAACTAAGAAATACTGGCCTAAGATAATTCCATCTCTCTGATCAGAGACTCCATTCAGCAATCAGTAAATTCTGAGCCAGTGTAGAAACATTGCTACTATAGCATCCATACCACTACCTGACACCCTCTCTTCTTTAATTAGCCAGATAATCTTAGGCATGATATTGGATTACCTTAAGCCTTTTGCCCTAGAGGTTTTACGTGTTTATGTGAGGTTATCCAAGCAGGAGTAACTAAAGATAACATATCCATTGTGCCAACCAAAGACCTGTCCTAACTAGTATCTGCCTTCACAGATACATCAGGGCACAATATTTTGTTTGAGTGGAACTTGTGGTCTGAAGTTGGAGGAACTCCATTCCAGTCGTGAAAAACTCACTTCTGACCAGTTTTGTGATCTCCTGGAAAGATGGAGTAAATGGTTAAAATGGATTGACGCAGGATCTGAGTGCTCTCTTAACTACGTTTAAGGATTTTCTCACTTTGGCAGTACTATCAATGCCTTGGTGGATTTTGGAATACAGAACCTGGTATTGTCACCATAACACTTAAGTGCCTTCTTGCCTTGGTTTACTTGGTAGCTGAGAGTAAAGCAAATTGGATGCCAGTTGAAACTCTAAGGATGGATCTGTTCACACAGGACTTGGACTCATCTGAAATCCTGCTTTATAGTAGTGGAGGCAGTGAAGAGTGGGTTCACTTTGCCTCCATTGTGCCTGCACAAAACAGCCTTGGTTTTGCACACTGCGGAATTAGTAGAACGTTGTGTGGAGAGGAGGCAGAAGAGTCAATGAACCCCTGTGAGCGATTTCCATCATTCATTGTGGACAGTGTCAGTTGGATCTGTCTCAATTTAGATTTTGTCAGAAGGGCAGGAAGATGAAAAATTTGGCACATCTGCTCATCCTGTTATTTTTGAATCTTTTTTATCAGTCAATCTCAAAGTTACGGACAGGGATGTAGAGAGATGACGACTAGCAGATGTTTATTCGACTTTTGCTTCTTCTGGCTAATTAAATAAACCTTTAGGGCTTGCACCTATGATTAAGAGGAGTGACTAATGTGTCTATGTTGTAGAAGAGGAGTTACAAGATTATTGAAAAACAAAGCCCTTCCCGGAGAAATTTTGTACAGCTATAGGCAGTCTCAAATACTGTACTCCATTTCTAGAAGACGTAATGGCTGTGTAGCTCCAGATGCATCCTAATATTGATTAATAATAATGGAGCCGTATTAGAGTTCTCTTGAATCTCTAGTGTTGATACGATCAACCATGGTAGTCTGTCGACCACTTGATAGGATTGGGGACATTATTTCATCTTGATTCCAATTGTTCCTGTTTGACCATATCTACATGATTTTGAGGAGACTACGGTCCAGTACCTGGGCTGTTATCATATAGTAATCAATAAAGTTCAGTCTTGTATCTTATGCTTTTTTTGTTGTTAGTTGCGAAGTCGTGTCCGACCCATTGCAACCCCATGGACAATGTTCCTCCAGGCCTTCCTGTCCTCTACCATCTTCTGGAGTCCTTTTAAGCTCACGCCTACTGCTTCAGTGACTCCATCCAGCCACCTCATTCTCTGTTGTCCCCTTCTTCTATTGCCCTCAATCTCTCCCAGCATTAGGCTCTTCTCCAGGGAGTCCTTCCTTCTCATTAGGTGGCCAAAGTACTTGAGTTTCAACTTCAGGATCTGGCCTTCTAAAGAGCAGTTGGGGTTGATCTCTTCTAAGACTGACCGGTTTGAACGCCTTGCAGTCCAAGGGACTCGCAGGAGTCTTCTCCAGCACCATAGTTCAAAGGCCTCAATTCTTTGGCGCTCAGCCTTTCTTATGGTCCAATTTTCACAGCCGTACATTGCAACTGGGAAAACCATGGCCTTGACTATACGCGCTTTTGTTGGCAGGGTGATGTCTTTGCTTTTTAGTATGCTGTCTAGATTTGCCATAGCTTTCCTCCCCAGGAGCAAGCGTCTTTTAATTTCTTGGCTGCAGTCCCCATCTGCGGTGATGTTGGAGCCCAGGAAAATAAAATCTGTCACTACCTCCATTTCTTCCCCATCTATTTGCCAGGAATTGAGCGGGCCGGATGCTAGTCAACATCTAATTAAAGCCATTGGTGAATTCTTCCCAAGATGAGATTAGAAGGCCTATTGAGGGAATTGTTTTTGGCAAATAAGAAACTATTTTGAGGATTGGGGTTCAATTTGTTTTCAATAAGGTTGCCTTTTGATGACAGTAGATTCACAATGTAGAAGGGCTCCTTCATTTTCAGTTATCCAAACATTGACAGGTAGCAATTGTGTGACAAGGAGCTTTTTCAGACAATTATGGCTAGTGATGTTCTAACCCTTCCTGAGCTGGTTGGATTTGACAGTGAATATCCACACCTCCGTTACTTCTACAATACTATCTGATTTAGACGGAGCTGCCCTTGAAAGTATCGGGCACAATTAATGCAAAGTATGGCAATTAAACTGCAAATTAACGTACAACACAAGGATCGTATAGTGCATATATTAAGACTGCACGGGCTTCCCAGGAATCATGTAAGATGCTGGTATTGACCATTAAAGCCTTAAATGCTTTGAAATCTGATGGTTTAAGACAGTGCTTCCCAATCAGGGGTGCGAGACGATATTCCGGGGGGGGGGCAAAAACTTGGGTTTAGAAGTTTCAGAATTATAGTGTATATGCACAATTTGTTATTTTGAACTTTTGTAAGGGGTGCGAGAATATATCAGAAGCGTTTCTAGGGGTGCGGGGTGTAGAAAAGGTTGGGAGCCGCTGATTTAAGAGATGGCTTCACCTGGTAATAGGGGACATGGTGGCACAGAGGCTTAATGATGCTGGATGTGCTAAGCAATTGCCAGCACTCTGGTGGTTTGAGTCCAGCTCTGTGGGACAGAGTGAGCTCCCATCTCTTGTCCCTAGCTCCTGCCTTCTTAGCAGTTCAAAAGCATTTTTTGCGAGTAGATGGATATTGTTGTTAGTTGCGAAGTCGTGTCCGACCCATCGCGACCCCATGGACAACGTTCCTCCAGGCCTTCCTGTCCTCTACCATCTTCTGGAGTCCATTTAAGCTCACGCCTACTGCTTCAGTAACTCCATCCAGCCACCTCATTCTCTGTCGTCCCCTTCTTTTCTTGCCCTCAATCTTTCCCAGCATTAGGCTCTTCTCCAGTGAGTCCTTCCTTCTCATTAGGTGGTCAAAGTACTTGAGTTTCAACTTCAGGATCTGGCCTTCTAAAGAGCAGTCAGGGTTGATCTCCTCTAGGACTGACCGGTTTGATCGCCTTGCAGTTCAGGGGACTCGCAGGAGTCTTCTCCAGCACCATAGTTCAAAGGCCTCAATTCTTTGGCGCTCAGCCTTTCTTATGGTCCAACTTTCACAGCCATACATAGCAATTGGGAAAACCATGGCCTTGACTATACGTACTTTTTTTGGCAGGGTGATGTCTCTGCTTTTTAGTATGCTGTCTAGATTTGCCATAGCTTTCCTCCCCAGGAGCAAGGATCTTTCCAGATGTGATTGGTGGAGGAGCGGCAGGGGAAAGTCCCGGATGAGCTGACACTGCAAGCCAGCTGGTGTGAAGCTAGCTCTTGTGATGCACCGCTGCAACAAATGGACCAGCGACTCTTGGCTGCCAAGATTTCTACTGTGCATAACATTGGAGCTTCCTGGCCTCGTGTGCCATACGCTAAATAAATAAAATAAATAATAACCTAATAATTATTCTAGCAAAATGTCAAAACCAGAAGGAGAGTCCTCTTTGAAGATACCCTTCAAAAGACTCTTCTTTCTGGATACTGGAGAGGACCTTTCCTGTCTTACCTCCAGACTATAGAATAGTGTTTGTCAACCTCAGCAGTGTTAACATGCATTGACTTCAACTTCCAGAATTTATATACTGGCTGGGGAGTTTAAGTCAATGCATCTCAAAAATGCTGAAGTTGGAAAACCCTGCTACGGAATCCTTCAGTACCTGTGTTTGACATCTGCTGCTGCAATAGCAATAGCACTTAGACTTATATACCGCTTCACAGTGCTTTACAGCCCTCTCTAAGCGGTTTACAGAATCAGCATATTGCCCCCAACAATCTGGGTCCTCATTTTACCGACCTCAGAAGGATTGAAGGCTGAGTCAACCTTGAGCCGGTGAGAATCGAACTGCTGGCAGTCGGCAGAATTAGCCTGAATTACTGCATTCTAACCACTGCGCCACCACAAATCTTCAACATTTATAAATCTTAAAGGCCATCTTTTTCACCCGTCTCTTAAAGCATTTGAATATCAATTTTAGTGTGGAATTAATTATTTTATTTATTTTTTTATTTTTTCATAATTTATATGCCGCCCTTCTCCCCACGGGACTCAGGGCGGCTCACAGAATATTAAAATAACACAACACAAACAACACAACACAACATTTCCCCTATAAAAGCCAATTAAAAACCAAATATTTATAGTCTGTGACA